AACCCAGCTCCAGGAATGGTTTGCCTCCTGAGCAACCTGAACTGGGGAACAAACCCCATAAAAACATCATTTCAGACCAATTTGCCGTTCCACAATAAAAGCAGATACACAATTTACGCAGGAAACACCCCCAGGGAAACAAATGACTGTAATGAGTGGAAAGGGGAGAGTTTGCAAGTTTGGATCTTCCCTGCACCGTGTCCTCACCGCATGTGTTTTGATTTCCTTCCCACTCTACTCCTTGTTATTCCCAGGGAGACAACAAACAGCTCCTCACTCGGACTGCCGGTGGGAGGAGAGCTTTCTGCTTGGCAGGACTGGAGGTGTCTCGAGCTGTTAGGAAAAACATCATTTCCCCTGGTGTCATTAGTGAGGAGGGCACGGCTGGCCAGCGGAGGGCTCCTTGCTGGGAAACCCAAATTGTGCAGGCACTGCCTGTAGAAAGTAAGGCCAGAAAGGAAAACCCACAAAACTCACAACTTTTGGAAGCAAAAATTAAGATGTGCTTGCAGGAGTAACACAAACACCCTCCACATCGCATAAACTACTTGGGAGCTTTTTTTGTTTGTTTGAAACTCCAAAGGTTTGTTAGCGCTGCCTTGGGATGAAGGAAGACTATTTATGTAGGTATGCACGTGGTATGAGTGTTATCTGGGTATGGGATCCACACTGCTGGGCTGTTTTGCAGAGGTAAAAGCGTTGAAGAGCACTGGTCCACATAGGGGGCTTCACCCATGACCAGCATCCACCAGGACTTAGAGACATTGACCCCCACGCTCTGGCTGTCACTATCCCACTCTTTCTCCACTGGGTAGCGCTGCCTTCAGATCCATCTCTCACCAACTTAGAGATAAGGATGCGGTGTGGGACCATGTCAAAGGCCTTGCACAAATCCAGGTAGATGACTTCAGTTACCCTTTCTTTGTTTACCAAAACAGGAAGAGGACCCTTCTCTTTGGCACAGCAGTCCTCAGTCAGAGAACAGGCTGCAAGACAGCTGCATTTTCCTCACCTCTACAGTCCTCTTGGCCCATGAGCAGCTTCATTCCCAAGCCAGCAGGCTGTGGAAAATCCCATGAGCTTTGCAGGACATGGGAGCCAGTCCCATGCTCTCCATCCACTGAAATGTTGCCAAGCCCTTTTCCTGCCGACACGTGTGTTTAGGTTTGGAGCATCCCCACCCCACCTCAAACGCTCCCTGTCTCAGCACTGGATGGAAAGCACTGCCTGTAGCACAAAAGCAAACGGGGGACAAGGAGAAGCCCAGAGCAAGGTGTGATGCCATGCTCTGTTTCTTGGCTGTGGCAGCAGGAAGGTGGCAGCAGGAAGCACTCCTCTTACAGGGCTACCTTTCATGTGGACTGCTGATAGCAGCGTGTTCACAGCTCTCGCTGTCTGGGGGCATCCTGATCCTGCAGCTGTTGTGTTTGCATCACCAGATATGCACCTACCTATGTGCATCAGGGTCCCTCTGAGGGTGGCCATGGCCCTGGGGCTCTGCAGTCTCACAGTACTGGAGGAAGGGCTTAGGAAAGTAACTCAGTTACCACCAAAGATCATGATATATTTTCCTTAGCTTTCCTGAAAAACTTCTGTATAAACACTTGTTAATAAAAATAGAAAAATGAACAAACATTTTCCTCAAAGAGAAAAAATAATAATATTCATAAATGCATATACAAATAGGCATGCTTGTGCATGTGATATCATAACGTGTGTGCGCTCACGCCTGTTTGCAAAGCCTTGCTGGGCAGTCACTGATCCGTCCTGCTACACTCTGAGTTTTGGAAGTGTTTTTTTTTTGTTGTTATGGCTTTTTCCCCCTTATATTCAAAGTTGCTTGCTTCTCTAGTTCCTTCCAGGCTTTTTAAAATAACTCCAGGCTCTTGGCAGCCTGGCTGATGCATTGCATCGAGTGTGTCGGCTCCTGGTGCTGCTGTCTGGGAGGAGCTGGCAGAGGGAGGGCAGGGAGAGGGGCCCACATCTCTGTGGGTTGGGGTCTGAAATGACCGGATGCCAGCATTTCAGCAGAAAGATGATGTGCAACTGACAGATGGAGATGGATAGACCACCATATAAGCAATCATAGAATGGAATCACAGAATCATACAATGGCCTGGGTTGCAAAGGAGCACAATGCTCCTCCAGTTCCAACCCCCTGCTGTGTGCAGGTCACCAACCAGCAGCCCAGGCTGCCCAGAGCCACATCCAGCCTGGCCTTGAATGCCTGCAGGGATGGGGCATCCACAGCCTCCTTGAGCAGCCTGTGCCAGTGCCTCACCACCCTCTACATGAAAACTTCCTCCTAATATCCAACCTAAACCTCCCCTGTCTCTGTTTAACACCATTCCCCCTTGTCCTATCACTGTCCACCCTTGTAAACAGCTGTTAAACAATCAGAAGACAACTGGTTTTGAGAGCTGTTCCTTCTATGAGAACCTTATAAAAAATCCCTTTTTCACCTGCCTGCCAGGCATGCGAGCCAGCATACCCACTGTTGCCATAAGTGTAATTGAGATGATAGCTAGAATCTAAAGGAAGCAGTATCCTTCTTCCTTTGGTCATTTTTCTTGCACTCCTGCTAATTCCAGCCACCAGGCATCACCCTCAGAAACGTTCAACTGGAAAACATTCCAGTTAGTAAGATTTTCTGACTTTAAAAGCAGATGATGAAGATCTGACGTGGAGGTTCCTGTCCTTACAGCACGCTAATCCAATCAGGTGTTATTGCAAGCCACAGAGGAGGCTGTATTAATGGTATTCTAAACCATCAATGGGAGCCAGCCCAGCTGCACTCACCACGTCTCACCCCAGCCTCTTGCACTGACTTACAGTGTCCATCCCCATGGCATCAGGATGGTGAGGCCCTGCTCTTGCTCTCGTCCTTGGGGTCCCAGAGGAAACCCAGTTCCTCCTATTCTTCTCAGCAGCTATTTGTGCAGGTGTCCCCCCGCCCCCAGGGCCATTGTCCCTTGTCCTAGCCTTGAGCCTTCTGCACAAACACTTGGGGATGATGTCAGGCAGGCCGTATACATTTCCTTCTTTGGCCTCCGAGAAATGTTTTTTAACCAAGTCCTTATTATTTTTATTTGCAGCGTGCCTTTGGGCAGGATTTCTGGTCTCGAGAAGATAATTTGGTTTTGATTAGCAGCCCAGACAGGGGTTTATAGACATGTTCAACTGTGTGGGGTTGAGAAATCAAACCCCTTTAATTTAGAACCAGGACTTTTCTTGCTTTTTAAATAGGAGCATCAACCCAACCGAGAACAAACTTAGTAAGTGTGATGTATTTAATAAAAGCAATAGAAGCATGATGTGTTTTTAAGTTACCAAAACCTACTCTCTTGCCAAACCTGTGGGCAAAAATATGATCATTAGCTTTGTAGATGAAGATCTCACTAAAAAGTGCAGGGAAGAGGGGGGGGGAGGGGGCTTCCTGTACAAATTGCAACCAGCCTGTAAACAGCTCTAGCAGGAAAAGACAAACATTTATTTAAAAATAAAAAGCCAGTGGACAAAATTGTTACCTGTATTCTTGCAAATGAAAGGAAAAGATCTGATGCTACAGCCTTGATCTTATCCATTGCACAGAGACACTGACTGCCACATGTTAGACCCCGTTAGAACTTGTGCACAACATAAGGAAAAATATCACCGGCAACAGATCAAGCAGCTGGGGCAACTTCTTACACATCACTTCTCATTGCAGATCTAAGTACTGTTGGTTTTGTCCATAACACCCACTGGAAAGGGTTCAAAGGAGCTGGGGCTGAGAACAGGCCATTTTTGGCCGTGGAACTTTGACAAAAATGCTTGTATGAGTTGACTGAAATACATGGTAGACTGAGTGCTCAGTTTGTTGGGCTGTGTCAGCTGGAAAGAGAAAACACTGGCAGTGTTTGTACAAAAGGAAAGATATGTTCTGGGGTAACAGAAAGGAAATGCTTTTGTGTTGAGCACTGTTATTTTGTAACATGTAAGAGGGAATTCTTCCCATTTCTTCCAGTAGGAAATTTTGAATAAAAATAATTCTAGATGGCATCAAAGTATTTTTTTCCTTCCAAGCCAATGGCTGGAGTTTGGTTACTCAACCAGAATGCTCCACGGCTTGCAAGTGCCAGCTGTGCTCTCCATAAGCAACGCTGTCTCCAGACAGATGCCACCATCCCATAGCTGGGATTTCATCCCCATAGTGGATTTCATGGGATGTGGCAGTAGGATTGCATCTCCTGTCCTCTCTGTTGGGCTGAAGGTTGTGGCAGCTTTAGGTGTGCCAAGGTCTGGAAGCCAGAAATGGGTACACAGCACCCAGGGATGTGGTATGTGAGCAAGTCTGCGGAATGAGAACTAAAATCTGTAGTTTTTAGGTTTTGGAGACTTTCATATTTAGGGTGTAAATAGAGATGGAGCCCAGGTAGCTCAGACCCCACAGCTCTTTAGCCCCAACAGAGGCAGGTGCAGTGCCCCAGCCTCTGGGTAGATGTGGCAGGCATGAAGACATCCGCAACTGCAGCTGTTCCTCACCCCAGCTCTGCTTATCACACCATTCTCTTCACATCCCATGGCAGCCCCGCGGTGTGCCAAGATGCTGTGCTCCACATCAGCACTTGGCTCTTTTGTTCTTCCCCCCTCTGGCATACCAGGCGTTTATATGATTGGGCAGATGAGCAGTCCCACATTGCTCAGTGTCATCGAGCCTCTCCAGCCCATTCATCTCCATCCAGAGACCTCCAAACAGCGAATGGAAAGCAAAAGGAGCATTGTATCAGGAGATGCTTTTCTGCAGCTCTGCAGGACGGGCTGTTATTCAGCCTGTAATGCTGTCACCAACTTGACCTCTCTGCAAACACTGCTCGAACTGGCAGGAATCGACTTTAGAAGGCCAGTTTGCAGAAAATAAATAAATGAATGAATGAATAAATAGCTGCTATGTGTTTGTTTAAACATCACAGAGCACTGCGTTCACATCTTTGCCCTGGAACTGACGGCCTCCTGTGGAGCCACTGACACCAACTTAACCCAGCAGACTGCCCTGCACCGGGATTGGGGTCAGGTGAGGGGATATCGGGATGGGGCTGGGGCTGCGGCGGTGCTTCCATGGGCTCAGCTCCGTTCTGGCAGCATGGAGGTTCTCACGACCCAGCTCCTATTCCAGGGCTCGTCCAGCTATTTAAAGCGCACCAAGAGGGGAAAAGTGCTCTGAAAATGCAGTTTCTGTGCACTAGACACCGTGCCAAATATTCTGTCTCTTTCATAGGCGGATAGCGAGGGATCCCACGGCTTGTCGGGTTTGTTTTCTTGCCCACTTTCAGCCATATGTGCTCGAAAGCTACAAGGCCCTATTAGGGATTCGAAAAGTCATCTAGCGGGTGAGCGAGCAGAGCTAGCCCTCCGAACCAAAAAAAAGCAGGATGCAGGCTGCTTTCTCATCCAGAAAAACAGCGCCGGCCAAAATAAAGAAAGCACTTCTGCAGCGAAAAGCCTGAAATGGGAAGCAGCAGCCTGCCTCGCCTGGGGAGAAGGGAAGAAACAGAGGCAAACATCCCGCCCGTGACCAACACGCAACCACACTACAGGAAGCAGTAGCCTCCGGTGATAAATAGGAGCCCCGGCAGCACAGGATGCGCGTGGGGTGAGCTCGGCGGGCCGAGGGGATGTGAGGCAGTGTCCGTCCATCCGTCCAGCCGGCGGGATGGCCGCGGCCCTGCTGCTGCCGCTGTGGCTGCTGCTGCTGGTGACGGCGGTGGCACGGGGTGAGGACGCCGAGGTGCTCTGCGCCGACACCGCCTGCTACACACTGCACCGGGCCGAGCTGGGATGGAGTGCTGCACAAGAGCGCTGCCAGCACAACGGCGGCAACCTGGCTCCAGCAAGCAGCCGGGCCGAGGCCGAGCGACTTGAGCAGCTGCTGGCAGCCAGCGCGGCCGCCTCGGCGTGGATCGGGCTGCGGCTGGAGCGCGGCCACTGCGTGCAGTCCCAGGAGCCGCTGAGGGGCTTCGCCTGGGCGGCCGGCGGGGAGCCCGGCAACTACTCAGCCTGGCTGGCCGAGCCCCACGTCACCTGCCTCAGCACCCGCTGCGTCGCCCTGCGGCCCGCCGGCCCCCAGGGGCCTCCAGGATGGGTCGACCGGCCGTGCCGGGCCACGCTGCCCTCCTTCCTCTGCAAGTTCAGCTTCCGGGGGATGTGCGGGCCCCTGCGGCTCGGGGGGCCCGGCCGGGTCAGCTACGAGACGCCCTTCAGGGTGCGCAGCCCAGCACTGGCAGCCGCCCCCTTTGGCACGCTGGCAGAGGTGGTCTGCGAGGGGGCTGCGAGCCCGGCCTTCTCCGTATGCAAGGGGCAGCTGGAGGGGGACAGCTTTGCCTGGCATCCTCCTGGGCCCCTCTGCCCCAACACCTGCACCTACAACAACGGGGGCTGCCAGCAGCTGTGCATGGAGGCATCTGGGCAGCCGTCATACTGTGCTTGCCATCCTGGCTACGTGCTGGGCCCCGACATGGCCTCCTGTCTGCCCGAGGATGCCTGCCACCCCAACCCCTGCCAGGGGACCTGCCAGCCCCGGCCCGGAGGCTTCGAATGCATCTGCGAGGCTGGCTACGTCCTGGCACCTGATGGCCTCCACTGCGTGGATGTGGATGAGTGCCTGGAGGAGCCCTGCAAGCACGAGTGCCACAACACGGCCGGCAGCTTCTACTGCTCCTGCCAGCCCGGCTACCAGACAGCAGGGCCTGATGGCCACGACTGCCGCGATGAGGATGAGTGCGCCCGGCCCAATGCCTGCCCCCAGCTCTGCCTCAACGTCCCCGGCTCCTTCCGCTGCACCTGCAAGGCCGGCTACCAGCAGCAGCCTGGCAGCGATGCCTGCCTGGATGTGGACGAGTGCCTGCGAGACCCCTGTCTCGGGTCCTGCCACAATTTCCCCGGCAGCTTCAAGTGCATCTGCCCGCCTGGCTTCCTCCTGCAGGACGATGGACACAGCTGCCTCGCTGCACCCACCACAGGAGAGCAGCTGGCAGGCACCATGGGGACCACCGCCATCCTCCAGACTGCCAGCACCGCGTGGACCGTGGGCACCCCCAGCCCTGCAGCCGTTCCTGGTGGGTTGACACCACCAGCCCCCACGGTGGTGGTGTCAGAGCACAGCCCCGAGCATGGCGCTGATGGCCCCCGGCTGCTCCTCTACTACATCCTGGGCAGCCTGGTGGCCATCCTGCTGCTGCTGGCCTTTGCCCTGGCCCTGGTGGCCTGCAGAAAGAGGGCGGCGAGGCAGGAGAAACCAAAAGCCAAAAGCGCGGCGGACAACTACTGCTGGGTGCCCGAGCAGCCCGAGAGCCGCAGCAGGGCAGGCAGTGAGCGCAGGTAACAGTGCCCACGCTGCGGGGCTGCAAGCAAAGGAAATCCAAAGTGAAGTGGGGTGGGCGATGTTCTTCCCGAGATGATTTTGCATGCCTTCGTGTCTGAGAGCCTGTTTTGGAGCTTTGGGCAAAGCAGGATCCGATCCCAACCCCAAGGCAGGTGCAAGTGTTGGGTGAGCAGATATGAAGGCAGCCCAAATCATGCTGGGAGTGTTAGCTGAAATGTGTAAACCTCAGCTTCCCAAAGTGAAGGGTTAACGGGGAAGGAGCAGAGAGCCTGAGATGGAATGGTGTAGGGGTTCCCTGCCTGCATTGCTCCTCAGCTCTGCAAAACCTCACAGGACTTGGAAATTGCAGCCAAGGAGAATACTGATTTGGCTTCCTAAGAGAAAACTATTAATTTCATCTGTCATTCGGTCTCCCCTTCTCAGATTTAAATTGTAGAGCTTCCAAAGCAGCAATTTCCCTGCTCCCCCACCACCAATCCCTTGTCATTCAAAAAAATATATATGTTTATGACTGAGTCCCTCTCCTTACCTACACTGCATTCTGCAGTCTGCCGTTCAACCCCCATGTTCCTCTTGTTCTCAGTGAAACAGGGTTCACATTTTGAAGTGTTTCACTGTGGCAAGAGCCATTAGCTGCAGCCACAAGCAGCTGGTTTTCATTGTTGATATTTTTGTTGTTGTTGCTTTTTAGAAGTTGTCATTACAGAAGCCGTAGAAATAAGCATTTTAGAAGCCCAGCAGCAGAAAGACCCTCCAGCAAAGCAGGAGCTGTAGGGGTGGTGGGGCTTCAGGACTGTTTGAGTTAAGCATGCGTGGGGTCTGGGCTGAATGTTTCCTCCATCCATCCCTGCAAGCAATGTACTGGATGTTGTGTGTTCACTAACTACTGTATAAACCCTCTAAACACCCTTCAAAGCAAATGCTTTCTCAGGGCGAAGTTTCTCCCCCATCTCAGGCTCGGTCCTGCAAAGAAGAGGGAAGACACATCTCCCTCTGGATTTGTACTGCGGGGAAGCAGCAAGAGATGGATCCTGATTGCCCCAATGCAGGCAAGCACCCTTCACCCTAGCAGCAGGGAGGCAGCTCACGGCCTGCATTCATTTGAAGGGTACATCGGTTTCCTGAAGATTCTGCTGTTTTTATTGTATACTTGAGGCTTAATTGCAACAGAAATGGGAACTGAACACAAAGGATTTTGCTGCGGGCACTGACCTGCATCCTGTTCTTCCGCATGTGGAAGAAACCCCTTTCCTGCTGTTCTTTCTTCTTCATTCCTCCATTGTAAAACAAAACAAAACAGGAAAGTGTAGCTCCTAGCTGATAGAAATGTTTTTTTAATGTTCTGCTTGTGCTTCCTTTTCTCCACGCAGTGGTTTGGAGCAGCAGCAAATACAGCAGTGGCGTTCTTGGAAGTCCTGCAGAAAATTCATAGCGTGTCTTTGTTATGACAGCAAGCCAGCAGAGCTTTCTGAATACATGAATAAATTAAGCAGATGAATAATCCCACCCAAATCAGTGGGATAACCTACATTCAGAGCATGAAGCCTGCATGGTCGGTCTGCACTAACTCAGGGTCTGTATGGGGAAGGAGCAATCACAGTGATGTGCCCCCCAGTTCAGGGCTGCTGGGTTTGCTGGATCAAAAGCCAAGGTGTTTTCAGAACAGTAATAGGCTCGGGAGCTTTTCTGCCACGGTTTTCCTATTATGGTATCATTTAATTGTTCTACACACAGCATCGACTCCGCTCTGAGAAAGGGAAAAAGAAGCATAAGCGCAGACTCAGAGCAGGCAAAAACCTGGGAGTTGTTCATTCCCTCTGTAAAAGCTGTAATCTTGACTTGTGTTGCCCAGTTGGTGTGTTCTGGTGTACATACTGCACCACAAGTGCAGCAGATCCTATAGCAGGAAGGCACTAATACGTGCTTAGGTTCAGTGTGGCTCTTCCAAGCTGAGTATTTCCTGATGTTGCTCCCTCCAATCTGGTGCTGTTCCACTTATCCCATCTCCCTTTCTTTCCACCATGAAAGCAGCAGGAACGTTTCAGTGTGTGTCCTCATCGGTTATCCAGAGCCCAGGGTGAAAACCTTGGGCTAAAGCAAATAGAATGGGATCAGACAGCTCAGGCTTACAGTCAGGAGAGAGGGAATCTCATCGTCGCTCCATCTGCACACACTGAGCAGGTCCCATAACCATCTCACTGTCAGGATGGCAGGACTGGCCAGCCAACACATCCCCAATGTTTTGAAGTGTTTTTTCAACTGTTTATTGTTTGGTTTTTATGGTCCAAGAATCCAGGCATACCTCACTTTATGTAAAAACTGCATGTCAGTACTGAGTTGTGCTTTGTGATGCCCAGAGCAGTGGCACAGCACCACAGCTGTTGGCTGCCTTCGACTGAAAGAAGAAAGTTCTCACATGCTGAACAGCACTGTACGTTGCTTTTCTGATCAAACACCAATAAAACCTAATGGAACACGTCTCTAGTGATTGCTTAATGCCTATCCTCAAATCAAATCACCAACCCAAACCTGCAGTGACCTAGGATAGCAGTCCAGTAGTTCAGCCACCCAACCCACATCTGTTTTTTCCCATTTGTGAGAAAGGTGCTGCAAGGAAACAGACTCTGCCAGTAGAATTCAGAGAAAAGATATTGAGTAATGTTAACATATAATCTGCAAAAATACCATGTGCCTTGCTTCAAATCCTGTAAAGGCAGACACTGCAAAAACAAATGCTTTAAGTGTCTGCTCATTTCCTCTTTTTTATCTTTATTTTCTGTAAATATTTCTTGGCATTTGGCTCTTTCAAGGCTGGTAAGTGAGGCTGATGCCTTGCCAAGCAGATCTGCTGGTGACAATGTGACAGAGGAGAGATGGGGTTTTCCTGAGGACTCACCGTGCTCCTTGAGTGACTCCAGCTGCTGTGCAAGTGCTGGGGATGGTGCAAGGCTCAACACAAAGCCCATGGATTTCAGAGCTTACTGTGCTTGTGTAAGCAAAACTCTCCGTGTTTCCTCAGGCAGGGGCTGGCAAGTTTTGTCCAGCTGAGCACAGAGGAACTCAAAAACCCCTCTGTCCTCTATAAACTGAGCCATGTGTCAACCATCGTTTACAGAAGGTATCAGTTAATTCCCCCAGATTTCCTTAGGGTGGGGAGATATTAAAAAATATCTCACAGAATGCCTTGGGTTGCAAAGGACCTCAAAGCTCCACAACCCCAACCCCTGCCATGGGCTGGCTGCCCCCCACCAGCTCAGGCTACCCGGGGCCCATCCAACCTGGCCTTGGGCACCTCCAGGGATGGGGCACCACAGCTCTGGGCAGCAGTGCCAGGGCCTCACCGCCCTCTGACTGAAGCATTCCTTCCTAACATCTAACCTAAATCTCCCTCTTTCAGTTTAAAGCCATTCCCCCTTGTCCTGTCACTATCAGACCACATAAAAAGTCACTCCCCCCTCTTGCTTATAAGCTCCCTCCTGATACAGGGAGGCAGCAGTAAGGTCTCCCCAGATTCTTCTCTTCTCCACGCTGAACAAGCCCACCTCCCCCAGCCTTCCTTCATGGGAGAGGTGCTGCAGCCCTCTGAGCATTTCTATGCCTTCCTCTGCACCCAACCAGCAGCTGTTGTCAAAGGTCTTGCACAAGTCCAGGCAGTCACATCAGTCGCCCTTCCTTTGTCCACCAATGCCATCACAGAACGCCATCAGATTGGTCAGCGAGGTGGCACAGAGGAGCACTAACCTCATTTTGGGGTCTCCCGTGTCCCCAGGTCCCCAGCAGAAGGGTGTGCGCTCCCAACAGTCCGCTTTTAATTCTTCTCTCATTTCTGACGTAGCTTGAGTAATGAAAAGGAGTGCTCTGTCAGCATCCTGGTATTCGGAGTCCCATTCCCCAAATCCAGCACATGAAAGAAAATCCATGACGCACAACCACAGCTCAGAAAACCCATTGCAAATGTCCACTATCAGCATTGCCCTGGCAGAGGGGTGACGGTGGCATTTGGGGTGACTCAGACCGGACCAACATGAAAACTCCCCCGTTCTGTTATCACAACACACAGCCCGTAGGAAGCCTTGCAACAACTGTAAGTTGCAGGGCACTGTGATTAATCAACTTTTATCGAGGAATAAGTGGTATGTCAGCAGGAAAGGCATTTCTTGATCTGTGACTCAGCCTGTCGGGGCCGTATGAGCAAACGCCTGGGATGGTTTGGGGCACCAAGGGAAAAGATCATAGAATAGGAAAGGCATTGTCAAACCACGATTAAGCCCGTGTCTTCTGCCTCCCATGTCTCCTGCTACCAGCAAGACAAGGGCAAGGACATCTGCATGGTGGCCCCATGCCTCACCCTTCTGGGAAAGCTTTGTTTTGGGATGGTTGGAAGGTTTTCTTGGAAAATGTCAAAATATTGGTCAGCACGCAGCCCTGAAGTGAAATTTATGTTTCCACAATATCTTTATAAAAGCAAAACACACGGGTTTTTATTTTGTTTGTCACTGATTGTATTCCATCTTTTTGCTTTTCCCATCGTTTCCCCCGACCTTCCCCCACTATTCTGCTGTTTCGCTTCTGAAAACAAAACTAAACAGAAAGGGGAAGGAAATCTAGGCACAAGAAGTAGGAAAAAAAAGCCATTAAAATGAAAACTGGGGGGAAAAAAAACACTTTTTTTTTTTGGCTTTTTTTTTTTTAAGTTGTTTTGCTTTTTTAAAGCCAAGAAAGATGGGCGTTACCAAGTGTTGGTGACAGCTCTCCTTCTGGCACCGGCCAGAGCTCCTTTAGAAAGTCACTGCTGTATGAGTAACTCGTCCTTCCTTTCCTAAGGAATAACTTTCCGTGAAGCCAGAGCAAGGGATACATGTCACATGGGAAGAGGGATGATGCAGGGCAGCAGGAGAGAGGGCAGGGATGAAGGGCAGCCCTGGGGCAGCAAGCCAGCGGAGCTATTATCCATAGTATTGATTATTATGAATGATCATCATTATCATTATTCCCTGTCTTTCCCTTTCTCCCAGTGCCCGCAGCCTCCCAGCAGCAATGGGAGAGGGCACATCAGGCTGGAGGGTGCAATAAAGTCACCTCCTCTCAAGGAGCGGAGCGCAGCAGCACGGATTTGTTTCTCTGCAGGGGATCCCGAGGGCTAATTGCTGCGGCTGAGCCTTCCAAGTAAAAAACATCCCTCTCTAAATTGAAAAGAAGGGTCAAATGCCCTTTTCCTTGAGTGGCGAAGCTTTAGATGTTTGCTTTTCATTTTTATTTTGCTCTCGGCCATGTTCTGATAGGAGAGGTGGATCCCGCAAGGATAAAAGCACGGATGGGGCCAAGCTGTCATAAAACCATGAGCAGGAGGCGGCCTCGCACTCCTTCCCCTGGAGAGCCACGTGATTGTTTTTAATTTCGAGCCCACACGACTTGCTTTAATTCCAAGCCCCGTTCCGTGCATAGCTGCTGCCATGCGGAGCACGGCGGATGTCCTTCTGCCCTCTCACCCCAAATCCCTCAGCTTGCAAACTGCAAAGGAAGTCCGCAAGGGATTGTCGCTCATCCCTGCTGACACCGAGCCCCACAAGTGCAAGGAAGCGTTGTCTCAAGTTCCTCGCTAACAAAAAGCTGCGAAACCCCGGAGAGCTTACGGACTTTCTTTTCCCTATCGCACAAAAACCTCGGTTTCTTCTCAAAAATCGATCCGGGTACCGTCCGTCCCCCCGGCGCTGCCACCTGCCGCCGGCGGTCGGGATCGCACGGCCGGGCCGAGGAGCCCCGCTGTGAGCCGCTACCCAGCGCTGGGGCTGCCGGGCTGCTCCGGGTCCCCTCACGGCCACCACTCTTGGGCACGAAGCAGCCCCTGACCCACTGCCCTCCCGTGCCGCCACCGCTGTCCCCTGCCCGTCACAGAGGGTCCTGCAGCAGCCTCAGCTCTCCCGCGATTGCCTTCTGTTCTCGTTCTTCTGATGTCCCCATATCTCCTCTCCTCTCCTCTCCTCTCCTCTCCTCTCCTCTCCTCTCCTCTCCTCTCCTCTCCTCTCCTCTCCTCTCCTCTCCTCTCCTCTCCTCTCCTCTCCTCTCCTCTCCTCTCCTCTCCTCTCCTCTCCTCTCCTCTCCTCTCCTCTCCTCTCCTCTCCTCTCCTCTCCTCTCCTCTCCTCTCCTCTCCTCTCCTCTCCTCTCCTCTCCTCTCCTCTCCTCTCCTCTCCTCTCCTCTCCTCTCCTCTCCTCTCCTCTCCTCTCCTCTCCTCTCCTCTCCTCTCCTCTCCTCTCCTCTCCTCTCCTCTCCTCTCCTCTCCTCTCCCTCTTTTTGCTTTTTCTTCCCTTCCATCCTATCTTTTCTTATTTTTATTTATGTTCTCATTTTTCTTCTTTTTCTTCTTCTTTTTAATCAATCTCCACTCTTTTACTGTTCTCTCTCCCCTCCCATCTCCCCGCCTCCTTTCCTTCTACTATCCCCACAACTCCCCCCTCCTCACCTCTTCCCCCTCCCTCTTCCCTCCCGCATCCCCGAAGGGGCGGCCGCCTCGCCCCCTCCCCGTCGCGGTCCCGCCCGGCCGGGCCCGGCCCAGCGGCACCTCCCGACTCTCGGGGATTTCCTCCGCGCCGGAGCCGCCCCCGCCGCAATCCCTCCCGGCCCGGCGGCGGCCCGTCCCCGGAGGCGCTTCCTTCCTGCGGCCGGAGCTCTATAAAGCTGCCGCCCCGGTCGGCGGCATGACAGAGATTCGCCGCGCCGGCCGCCCGCCATGCGGCGGCTCCCGCTGCCGCTGCTGCTGGCCGGACTGGTGCTGGGGCTGGGGCTGGGACTCGGCGAGCCGGAGCCGCCCGTCCCGTCGGGGACGCAGTGCCTGGAGCACGACTGCTTCGCCGTCTTCTGGGAGCCGGGGCCCTTCGCGGCGGCCAGCGCGGCCTGCCAGCGGCACGGCGGCCACCTGATGACCGTGCGCTCCACGGTAGCTGAGGATGTGATCGAGCTGCTGCTGCGGAACCGCGGCGGGCGGCTGTGGCTCGGGCTGCGGCTGCCCACCCAGTGCACCGAGCCGGCGCAGCGCCTGCGCGGCTTCCAGTGGGTGACCGGCGACACCCGCACCGACTACGACAACTGGGCGCCGTCGCGGCGGCGTTGCGGGCAGCTCTGCGTGGCGGTGTCCCGGGAGCTGAGCTGGGAGGAGCGGCGCTGCGAGGAGCCGGCCGACGGCTTCCTCTGCGAGTACAACTACCCCGACAGCTGCCCGCGCCTGCCGCTCGCCGACGGCGCGTCCCTCGCCTACCGCACCCCCTTCGGCGCCACCGGCGGTGACTTTCTGGCTCTGCCGCCCGGCTCCACCGCCGTCGTCTCGCCGACGGGGCTCCAGCTGCTCTGCGAGGCCGCGGCCTCCGGCGGGAGAACGCGCTGGGGCCGTTCCGAGCCCGGAGCCTGGCCGTGCCTCCTGGCCAACGGCGGCTGCGAGGGAAGCTGCGAGGAGTTCGACGGGGCTCCGCGCTGCGTCTGCCCCGCCGGCAAGAAGCTCGGCCCCGACGGGCGCGACTGCCTGTCGCCGTGCGCCGGCGCTCCCTGCGATCAGCACTGCGTGCCCGACGGGGAGGACTTCCACTGCATGTGCACCGAGGGCTACGAGCTGGGCCCCGACGGCAGCAGCTGCCAGGACGTGGACGACTGCGTCAAGGTGCCAGAGGTGTGCGAGCAGGTCTGTCACAACACCGAGGGCGGCTTCGAGTGTCGCTGCCATCGTGGCTACGAGATGGTGGAGGGGCACTGCATGCCCGTCCCCAACTGCAGCACCGGGCCCTGCGACCACATCTGTGAGGACGTGCCCGGCAGTTACCGGTGCAGCTGTCACAGCGGCTACGTTGTCGACCCGAAGAATCCCACCCAGTGCGTGCGGCAATGCGAGGACGGCAGATGCCCGGCCGAGTGTGACTTCAGCAACCTCTCCTGTTTTTGTCCTGAAGGCTTTGTGACGGACCACCTGCCCGACGGTGTCACGCTCTGCGTTGACATTGATGAGTGTGAGAATAATTACTGCGAGCACAACTGCACCAACACGCTCGGCAGCTACAGGTGCCACTGCCAGCCCGGCTACGAAGCCTTTGACATCAACCACTGCCGACCCATCTCACAGGACGACAACGTGGATGAGTACTCAGGAGATTCTGACCCCTCCGTGCCGGTCCCCAGCCACGTCCCACCCAAAGCAGAGCAGCTGCACCCTGGGGCACTGGTGGGCATCACGATGGGCGTGCTGTGCGCGGCGCTGGTGCTGCTGGCCGTCGGCTACCACGTGGCGAGGAAGCGCTGCCATCCCCCCAGCTCGATGGAGTACAAGTGTGGCAGCCCCCGTGAGAAAGAGATGGGGCTCCAGCAGGTGTCTGCAAGCCAGAAAGTGTAGGGAGCCTGGCAGCGAGCGGGAGGTGGATGGAACTGGGTAACGTTTGGTTGTAACCCCCCTGGTTTGTAAGGAGAAAGCGAGGAAAGCAGCTCATCGCATCGACTTCTCGTGCTGCCCACCTTGCCTGTTGCATACAGACCTCAGATTGCCAGCAATGCAGGGACCCCGCGGAGCATCACCGTGGTGGGGCTAAAGTGCTGATTTCTCTCCCCTCCCACCACTTGGGAACTGTTTGGGGGTGACATGGGTGTTCCAAGAGCACTGGGGTCATTTGTAGGAAAGGCATTTTCAGCGCTGGTGACACTGTGCCTTTTTTCCTCTTGTGTTCTTTCTTTTTTTTCCCTTTTTTAATTTTTTTTTTTTTTAATCCAGGGTGAGTTTAATTTGTGTGGAAGTTGACGGCAAAACTTCCTGGTGATGTTTGTGATGTTTGTGTTCCAGACCTTGCTGCTTGCTTTGCAGATGCAGGCTGGAGGATAAATGGGGGAGGTGGGGTGGAGAAAGAGTTGGAGTGGGGGAGATCCCTTGAAACAACCCCCGGGGTTATCAGTGCTGAGGATCTGTGCCCAAGCAGGGCCAGCTGCCTCAGTGCCAAGCTTTCTGGATGGGATTTTGGGCTCGGAGCTGTGGGGATGTCTGCCCCTCCAGCACTGAGCAGTGCAGCAGGTCCTGAGATGAACGCCAGCTCTGCGCTGCCCCGGTGGTCACTTTCTTCATGTAAATTGTTGAACCCACTGTTTTATACGCCCAGCACATGTGTAAATACTTATTTATTTATTGGAAATATACCCTACGCCACGCGTGATCACCTCGTGATGTTGTGTGCAGACCAATAAAGCTTTTACCGTCTGATTTATAGAAACCTGGGAACTAACTGTTCTTCCTGCCTGACCTTCCCCCCCACCCCCCCACCCCCCAAGCATCTCTCAGCCCCTTGCCGGGGCTCGGAGGCTCCCCAGCAGCAAAGCAGAGCTGTTGATTAGCAGAGAGCTGTGCTGAAAGCATGCCCTTCACCAGCAGGGTTAAAATAGCATGAATGAGCCAGAAAAATAGTGGGGAAGGGGAATAACACGAAAAGGACGAAGCTCAACCCAAACAAGCTGGAAGTGGCGGATTTAATGCTGCTCAGTGCAGCTCCAGCACTGCTCAACAGCTCCCACAACTGTGCTCAAAGTGCCCTTGAGGGTGATGCTACTCTGCAGCCCAGCCTTCCTGCTGGAAAGCATCAGTTTTGTCCCTCTGCCTAGGGATTTGGGGAGGGGATGTGGGATTTTTTTTATTTGTAGACCCTTATGGAAAGTTTTTCCTTTCCCTGTAAGATGAGGGGAGAGAGTGAAGGTGGGCTCCTGCTAAGGACTCAAAAATGCAGTTCCGTTTGGCAGGTGGCTTTTTTCCTGGCCTGTTTTTTGCTTGGACACAGATCAAATGGTGGGAAATGCTGGTGAAACCCTGGCAGGGGTCCCATGCAGAAACAGAGACTGGGCTGTGCCGTGCCGGTGACCTCATGTCCCCTGGGGCAGCACGTGGGTCCCCTCTGTGCCCATGGCCTCTTCCATCGGCCCTTTCCCATCCGCCCTCCCGTCCTGCATCCTCCCTGGGGTGGAACCCAGCCATTAGCCTGGAGGCTCCCTGGTGGCAATAATCACTCGGCCAAGGCTGGGAGCTGTGTCACGGGCCAGCGTTATGGCTTTTTATTTCATCAGGCTGCACAGCGCGGTCGAGGAGTGGAGAATGCCAGGGGGACACCCCAGCAGAAATGGGGGCAAAGTCATCGGAGAAGCATTCCGTTCCCAACGAGAGGGCAGTGTGGCCCTCCTCACCCAGCACCCTATTTGCAGGGCTGCAGAGGGCACCTTAGAAGGTGGTGGTCTTTGCCAGGAGGGTGCCGGGCTTGCAGCAGGGTTCGGGGCGCACGGGCTCCTGCTGGCAGGGCAGCGGCGGGCACATGCAGCCCTTGCCCTTGGGGTCACTTCGGGGCACGGCGCGGTAATCCAGGGGCTCTTCCTCTTCCTCCTCCTCCTCATCGCCAACAGCCCGTGCCTCGGGTGGGCAGCAGCAGAGGCTGGCATCGAGGCAGCGCCGCAGCACACCGTGGAAGGAGTGCCGGAAGTTTTCCGAGAGGAACCCGTAGAGGATGGGGTTGGCGCAGCTGTTGGAGTAGCTGAGGATGAGGCAGGCGTTGTTGACGGTGGCGTCGAGGCGGCCGGGCAGAAGAAGGTTGACCAACTGCACCACATAGAAGGGCATCCAGCAGATGACAAACATAGCCACCACCATCAGCACCAGGCGTGTCAGCTTGCCCTCGGAGCGCCGGCGCTGCTGCCAGCCCACCCGCTGCGCCACGGCCCGCATCTTGCCCACAATCAGCAGGTAGCACAGCCCCATGGCCAGCACCGGCAGCAGGAAGCCCAGCAGCGTGGTGTACACCACAAAGGCTGCCGACCAGGCTGGGCTAGGCCATAGCAGATTGCAAGCCACCGCTTGGCCATCACGTGTGACTGCAGTGCCGGCGAAGATGGGGATGGGTGAGGCCACAAGCAAGGAGAGGAGCCAGACGGCTCCGTTGACCATCTTGGCCACCCGTGGACGGCGATAGGTGGCCGCCCGCAGCGGATGCACCACGGCAATGTAGCGGTCCAGGCTGAGCACCGTCAGGCAGAAGACGCTGGTGAACATGTTGAGGCCATCGACGCCCAGCACGGTGCGGCACAGCGCCCGGCCGAAGGGCCAGTGGTGCAGGGCGGCCGAGGTGGCCACGAAGGGGATGCTGAGCATGAAGAGCTCGTCGGCAATGGCCAAGTTGAGCAGGTAGATGTTGGTGGCCGTTTTCATCTTGGTGTAGCGCAGGATGACAAAGATGACCAGCGAGTTGCCCAGCAGCCCCAGCAGGCACACCAGGGCGTAGATGCACTGGATCACCACCATGCCCGCCAGCTCGCCCACCCGTCCGCCCCGCGCCGACGGCCCTTCCATCCAGGCTGCGCTGGCGTTGGGGGGCACCGCGGAGGTGGTCCACGGTGGGAAGTGCTCAGCGTTGGTGCTCATGCTGCAGGGCAGCCCATGGGGGATGAGTGCCGGCCTCTGCCAGAAGGGGAGGGCCCCGCACCGCCGTCCTCACCAGGCCCCGGGGGTCTCAGGGACCGTGGGCAGGGAGCGGGGGCAGGGGGCACCGTGGCGGCATCAGGAATCGGCGCTGCCTGATGAAACCCCTGCAAATCCCAATGGTTTCCTTCACCCCCGCGGTGGGAAGCGAGCAGAACGCGAGAGCGATCCGGAGAGATTTTACCTCCCAGTCCTGTAGGGATGCACAGCCGGGGGGCTCCCGGCCGAGGGGCTGCAGGGCTGCTGCTGAGGAAAGTCCCGCTGACCTGGATCAGATGACCGGCGGGATCCGAACCTTTTAAAGCGAAAGGCAGACCGCGCTCTCCGGATTTGCATGTAGCCGAGCCTCGCCGGCCCGCATCACCTGTGCCACGGAAATAAGCTTTCCCATCTTAAAAACAAGTAAATAAATAAATGGACACATCGATATTAAAAAAAAATAATAATATAAAATAATAAAAAAAAGCTCCCAATTTCTGCTCGCTGCACTCCCATTGAAAACAAAGCAACCGACATACCCTTCCCCCTTCTTTCTCCTCTAAGTGCACGGGATTCCTCCCGCTCCGGCCATGGCCATTGTGGAGGCGGGGATGCCGCAGCCCGGCGCTGTGCTGGGGGGGCCCGAGCCCCACGCCTGGAGCCGAGCAGGGACCCCACGGCTGGGAGGCGATGGAGGCCTGTTGCCCTGGTGACGGCGGCGGCCCACCCCCCCCTTTCCCCGCGCTTGCTCCCGCATCCTTCACGCATCCCTATCCCTGCGTTAGTTTCCCTGTGCAAGAAGTAACAAGGGGATGTGAGGGGTGGGGGTGAGGGCTGCAATCGCTGCCCCAGTGAGGCCGGGTGCTGCTGGCCTGGAAATGGATGGGATCTGTTTGTAGGGTGGGACCCCCAAAGCAGCACAGACCCCACAGCATGTGTGTGCATCCCCTTGAGTTTTTCATTTAACAAATCCAACCCAACTCATTCTGGGAGCAAAGGGCTTGGTAATGTGATGGCCACTTACAAGAAGGGCTGTAAAGAGGACCTGGAAGGAGGCTGTGTGAGGCGGGGTCGGCCTCTGCTGGCAGGGAACGGCCATAGGACGAGAGGGGATGGCCTCACGTTGTGCCAGGGGAGGTTCGGGTTGGCTGCTAGGAACAATTCCTTCTGCAGAAGTGATTCTGCACTGACACAGCTGCCCAGGGAGCGCTGGGGTCACCTGGAGGAGTCCCAGAGCCGTGGGATGTGGCACTGAGGGACGTGGGCAGTGGCATGGTAGGTATGGGCTATGGTTAGACTGGGTGATCTTAGTGGTCTTTTTCACCTTTGTTATTCAATGATTTTATGGTTCTCTCCCTTGTCTGCAAGTCAGCTCCCTGCTCACTGGGCAGTGCCTGTGGGAGTTTTGCTGGGATGCAGCTGGCAACCAGCTGGCTGAATTTTTATATGGAAGGAGTTTGGACTGCAGCAATATAGATAAATGCACATATTATGTTACTGAGAACAGGCTCAATGTGCATGGGAACGCAGGTGCCTATGTCTTCCTGGTGCTTAAATATACGGCCATCATTAATCCTGCAGCTAGCAACATTTTTGGCTAGGATGTCCCAGCTTGAATGTCCTGGCTGCAGAAAAGCACAGAAGGAGCTGGCACTGATTGAGGGCTGGGGTGAGGACACTGAGAAATATAGTCAGTGGGCACAGTGGGGATGGTTTGGTGTTGCAGTAGTTGATCTTAGAAGTCTTGTCCAACCTTAATGATCCTACAACACACAGATCAAGCTCCCGGTGGGTGCATACATCCAATATGTATCTGATATATGGGGAGAGCAGGCAGCCTCAGCCTGCACGTGGCTTTTGGATGCTGAGCACCCACCCAACAGTCTGCACCCTATTGACTTAGAGCTTTGTAAATGCAGCACCACACACTTTCCTAAGCTCACTCTTGGCATATTCCCTCCAGTTGCTGCTAGCTAAATATTTGTAAAACCAAGCCTGCCCCCTGCCCTGCCAGGCCTCCCAACAAAAGGCACTCAGTGCCTTTTTTTCTGGCTGCAACTGAACATCCACCTTGAAATGTGGCCAAAAGAGGGGGAAAAGGCCAAGGCTGGCCTGTGCTCCTGTTCAAACAGCACGGGCAAGAAGGGAGCAGGCTGGCACTGAGCGGGCTAAGCCACCCGCAGGGCACAGAAGAATTGGGCTCAGGTCTGCGTGGTGCTCACAGCAGTTCTCCAAATTCAGCACAAGAATGGCAACCAATTCTTCCAGGGTTTGGCTGCCCCTGCAAGCACGGGGCAGACGGGGCTCTTGAGTGAGCAGCCAAGGCAAACAAAGAAAATAAAACAAAACAATCCTTCCAGGCGAGCCCCAAGTGAACTCATCTCGTACTTCTCCGGTCAA